CTTTGCTGTTATCCACCAGTGAAGTAAAACAAAGAAAACAAAGAAGTCAACATCATAGACCATAACCCAAACAAAAGCTACAAAACAAAGAAAAAGTTCACAGGCTTTTACACTGAGGTAAACCCTGAAATTGTATTGCTATAATACAGTCATAAGACTGTGTATACATGAAGGTCAACAAACAACAGTAACTAATGCCTGACACCTCACTACTCAGTGTGAACTGTCCAAAAAGTTAAACTGTCAACCAGAAACATGGAAACCTTACATATCAGAATTTGTAATCCAATTAAGTGTCCAGTGTCATAGACATTGTGAGGACTATGACAAACTTTTCAAATACTCACTCCAAACTGTTAGGTCATTAAAACATTGATATCATATAAATATATTATGCTTTTACCTGCTCCAACTAGGATTTAGACTTCAGGTTAACATGCTCATCAATATCTATTGTGTTTATTAAATGAGGTCCATACGTGACATCAGTGATAATGATTTAAACAGAATTACCAGAAGGCCAAAAGAGAACACCCAGGAATTGGTATAAGGATGCTGAAGAGATATCTGAGAAGTAACGCTTTAAGAATACAGTGGGAAAGAGTGTGTCAGTCACTTCTTAGGACTGACCCTACAGGCGTACATCAAAGGTGGAGAGATTCGATTCGCTGCCATAAGTACTGGGTTCTTGGACCCCTAGCTCTATGGCACATTGATGGAAATTGTAAGCTTATAAGGTGAGAGAAAAGAGCTACCTGATGAATAAAATACACATCACACATCAATGTATCAATCAAATCTATGCACAGTTATTTCCTCAGCATTTGACTTTCGTGAAAACTTTGGTCAGATTCCCCACTGTATATTCCCATTAGGGCCTCACAGAATGGTTTAATCAAGAGGCCAACGCTAGTGAGTTGAGCCGAGACTCCGAGCAAGAGAGAACACATTTATTAACTGAAGACTAGAGGCAAATAGAATACAAACGAAGCAGGCAAAAGCGGTAACAGGTACCAAGCTAATTATGCACGAACCGTGAGACAATGAGGCAAACTAAACAACAGCGTGCATCCTAAGTGAAACAATGGAGCAAACTAAACGACTGCATGCAATATGTGTCGTGCTATGCTAGCTAATGGCGGGAACTAAACAACAATGCAAAATATGG